ATCTTACACTTTTGATTTATCTCAATCTTTTTGTGCATATGGACTCGTTCTTCAATTTTTCATCATATTTGAAAGGGCTCTCAATAAATATTAGCTCCCCAACTCTTTGGAACACACAGATTCTCAAAAACCACTAAGGGCTCCAGAAATTTAAATGACTGTGAATATTAAAGAGGCAGCTCAGGTGAGATGATCTCCTTTCTTAAATTCCCAAATGGCTGACTTAAGCACCTTCTAGTCTCTTCAGCTCATACTACTGCGCAGACAGAGTGGCAGGCCTGGCACGCTACACGAGGTGCTGAGCGAGTTCGGCAGGTGGGCACGTTCTCAGGACTCCCTGCTCTCCTGTTGCACTGCAGCAACCCATGACAGCTATGCTACAGAAGTGACCTCTGTAGGGGTGTGCAGGCGGCGTGTGTGCAGTGAATGTGGCCTCAACACTGCAGAATATTACCTAGCTATAAAGAGCAGTGCCCCATTATTTCCAGGAAAATGGATAGACCCAGAGACCATCATGATAAATCAGGCAAGCCAGACCCAGAAAGCCACACATTTTCTCTGTCCCCATTTGTGGCATCTACAAAAATTAGGCAGGAAAGGAAATGACATGAAAGTAGAAGGGTGATTATTAGTCACTGGAGAGGACCAAGGGGAAGCGCAGGCAAGTGGACCCGAGGCCCATCACGGTGTGCGACACACACACACGCACACACACACACACACACACACACAAAACCCACAGCTCTGCACAACTGATATGAGCTAATAAAGTAAGGTGTAAGTAAAGTGACACAGTCTTGAAGTGGGAGGATGCGGATAAAACTATACCTAATAAACGCATGTAAGAGGTAGGAAGTCTGTACTGTGTTGGGAAAAGAAATGAACAAGAGAATACTTCCAAATTAAAACAGTTCCACGCCGCACCAGCCCCGCCCCCAGGCGCTCTGAGTGGCAACAGAATCTGGGCGTTGTGGCACACAACTGTAATTCCAGCGCTGGAGAGGACCACTACGAGTGGGAGCTGTCAGTGGGACCCTGTACCAAATATCTTCCTGTTGTCTCAGAGCAGCTGACCCAACTCCCGCCTCCTGCCAAGGAGCTAGGGCACCTGCCTTCAGCCCTCCACTCTCCTCCCTGTGGAAGGCCCTCCACCAGGCCCTTCAGGTCTCCTCCAGATCACAGATGGCCCTCCTGGGCTCTGCACTCCTGGTCTCTTTCCATGGGAATAGGCATTGTGGAAGGAGCATGCATTGATAATGGCTTGGGTGAGGCTTGGGATAGTGTGCGAAGCACGCCTCATTGGTCAAAACAAAACGCTGAAGAGAAGAAAACAGTTCCCAAGGCCCCCAAGGCCACTGGGCCACGTGTGGAATGTGATGCCACACCCTTCTGGTACCAGAAAGGGACTGAAGCAGAAGGGAATCCATGTCCCTGGATTAGAAAATCGGGGATATTGGGAGAAAATACTTAATTGTATCGATATTGAGCCACTGAGTTAAACGGCTAACAAACAAGATTTCTGAGTATGTGTCTCATTAGGGAATTTTTACTGTTGCTTGAATCCAGTGAGTTTTCCATTACCGATAGTTGACAGTGACCTAACTGACGTACCTGACCAGCAAAATGTGTCCTGCCCTTAGAGCTGAGGAAGGAGACGGCGCCGCCCACCGTGACCCTCGGCTCCCTCCGCCCTCCCTCCTCTCTGCCCCCTCCGCCTCCTTCTCACCCCACCACGTGCCTGATCACTTCCTCCCCAGCCCTATTCCTCTCAAACTATTCTTTAAGCACAAAACCCGAATGTTCAGGTCCACGAAGTGAGATACTTGTTAGTATTTATGGTAATCCTGCCTCCACATACTAGCTCAATTCAAATTTCTGGCTAGTTCCCAGTCTTTAGTTTTCTGCTTGTTTTTCTTTTGCAGCTGTGATAGGGATTAT